TCAAATGCCAGGTACTCATCTCGTCTGTTTGAAAATAATTTACAACGAAAGGAGATATGTGTACTAAGATTAAAGTAAACTTCAGTTAACATTAAAAGAGGATAAGCTTACAGTAACAGGTGCACAGATGATAGCTGTACAAGAAATCCCACTTTGCTAGTGTCTGATCAAGCATATTAAACCTTGAACATGCCCTACCTTGCAGTGCTGTATGACCCTTGTGGGTTTAACACTTAGTTATAATAATACAAGAACTCGGTTAGTGATACCAATAATGAATGGCCATTTGCACTCCCATTTATGATTTTTCTCTTGGGGTGTACAAATGATGTAGATACACATACTGGCACAAAAGTAGGCCACTAATTATTCAGTGTATTTTGAACAACTTCTTATGCAAGACTTCTTGTGTAGTTAACTACACTAAGTACAAAAAGGAAAGTAAGCTAGTGATAAATGGTCAATTACATACTATTTACACTGGTTCAGTGATCATTGGAGCAGTTTAAATATGTAATAACCAATTTTAACCCTTTCACTGTCCAGACAACTGAAAATAATAATGCTCTGTCCACCATTATTAATTAAAAAAAAAATTAGGTAATTATACCAAAGGTATGAAATTTGGTGGAAAACTTACATAATTGCAGCTGCATGACCCTCGTTGGTTTAGTGCTTTCTTTACAGAATTGCACTGGTGCAAAGTTAGCGTTCTGAGTGCAGTTTACATATCTGTGATTTCTCCCTCTTCAGTCCTATATTAAGGGAATTCCATTGCTCTATTTACCAAATTCTCAACTGTGTTGCTAGTATGCCTTTCTGTTCTATCAATTAACCCTTAAACGGTCCAAACGTATATATACGTTCACTCGCGTAGTGCCCCAAATTTTTTGAGGAAAAAAAAATCTTTTCTTTTAAAAGAAAAAAAGAGCATATGGTACCCAGGCATCCCCAATTATTTTAATATGGCGCACAGTGAGTGCGCACACCCATTCTCTCATGTCTAGGTGACTCAGGCTTATTGTGGCAATGTTGAATGAATGACAAAGAAAACGTATAGTATATACATTTGGGGCGCTACGCGCGTGAACGTATATATACGTTTGGACCGTTTAAGGGTTAAGCACAAAATTTATGACGCTCGGCTTATCTTAGTGAGTTTATAATAATTATCTTAGTGAGCTGTTTTCAAAGCATAGGTCTACATGAGGGACCCTAGCATCAATAACATACATCTATGCGAAGGACCCTGGCATCAGTAACATAGATCTTTGTGAGGGACCCTGGCATCAATAACGTAGATCTACATGAGGGACCCTGGCATCTATAACTGATCTACTTGAGGGACTCTGGCATCAATAATGTACGTAATTATTTGAGGGACCTTAGCATCAATAACAGATTACGTGAGGGGCCCTGGCATCAATAACATAAATCTATGCGAGGGCCGGTTCTGACGGTTTGAGTCTGTTCTTTACTGGCATGCGCCAAAGCTCTCCAATCTACGACTGCTTCTCGCTCTCTTTTTCTTCATCACTTCCGGTTGCATGCTCATGCCATTGCTGTTTATACAGATGGTTCTAAATCTTCTGATGGTGTTGGGTTTGTGGCGGTGTTTCCTGACGGTGTTGTCCGAGGTCATTTGTTAGGCTCGGCTAGTATTTTTACAGCCGAGTTGTATGCCATCCTCATAGCACTTCTCCATATTACATACGTATATGTCTCCTTCGACGTTTGTGATCATTTCAGATTCCCTCAGTGCTTTACAAGCCATTAACCCTTAAATGGTCCAAACGTATATAGTATACGTTTTTTCAACATCTGAAAGTATGTAAAAAATTGTAGATCTTTTTTGTTTTACATTTGAAAACGTGTAAACACACTTTTATCTACATTTTTTTTTGTTATATATGAAAATATGTAAAAAAAAGTAATCTACTTTTGTAGCACTACGAATTTGAACGTCGATCTATTTGGACCATTTAAGGGTTAAGCAATCTGATTCCCCTCATCCATTGGTCCTTCGTATTCAACTATGGTTGCGCCATGTGGCTAGCAAAAACAAAGCTTTTGTTTTCTGTTGGGTCCCTGAACACATTGTGCAGGGCAATGAACAGGTGGATGATGCTCTGCGGTCAGCGGTGCATGGTCTTCCGGTTTCCTATAGAGGTATTCTGTTCAGGGATTATTTTAGTCATGTCTGCTCGTCTTCGCAGCTGTTGGCAACAACAGTGGTCGGACATGCACCATAACAAATCCTCATTGGCCGTACTCGCCTTACCCATGGGCTTCTCATGGAACGACACCCTCTTCTCTGTGAGGTTTGTCGGGTCCCTATTTCGGTTCTTCATTTTCTTGTAGATTGCCCGGTTTACCAGCGAGCTCGCAGGATTTACCTCCAACAACTCCGCCGCCCTACCACTCTTACCCTGTCTTCCCTTCTTGCAGATGGCTCTGCCTTTGATTCACAATCACTTTTTTACCTTTTTTCAGCAGTTGCTTTACTGTACGAACATTGACACACAGCCCTTAGTGTCCCCTCACCTCTGATCCCCTCTCCACCTAGTTGTTTATAGTCCCAGCACTGTTTTCTGCCCCACAGTGCTGCATGACCCTTGTTGGTTTAACGCTTTCTTTGATTATAATAATAATATGTGAAGGCCACTGAGAGTTTTAAATATGTAATAACCAGTTTTATGGAGTGATTGAATGGAGATGGTGAAAATACAATGTTACTTAAATTACTACAATACAAATATAATGGGACGATATATGTTACCAATTATATATGAGGGTTCAAGGAAGGCTAGAGAAGAACAGACGGAAATGAATGAAAATAGGTTTTGTTTGATATAGCGTATTGCTGTCTATTACATTAAGGAGAAGAGGTCTTTTTTTTTATCTAGAGAACTTAAACTAGATAAATTAAACACGTGCAACATTTGGGTATCTTTATTGAGGAAATGTTTTGCCACATTGTGGCTTCATCAGTCCTGTACAAAGAATGTTGAAGATCAGAAGAAGTTTGATGTAATCAGTCCCTCAGCCTGGAGTTGATGTAATCAGTCCCTCAGCCTGGAGTTGATGTAATCAGTCCCTCAGCCTGGAGTTGATGTAATCAGTCCCTCAGCCTGGAGTTGATGTAATCAGCCCATCAGTCTTGAAAAGAATCATTGTTTTCTTTTCAAGAATGATGAAATGAACACATTGACTCTAGGCTGAGGGAGTGATTACCTCAAACTACTACTGATCTTCATCATTCTTCTTTGTGTAGGACTGACGAAGTCACCTTGAGGCGAAATGTTTTCTCAATAAAGATACCTAAGTGTTGCACGTATCTAATTTATCAACTTGTTGGTTCTCGGAACCATCTTTCTTTTGTATAAATTATTAAATGTAAAGAAGTAAGTCTATTCATGTACAGGTACACACAAATACAGTTACATCAATTATCATACATAGCAGCATATATGTAGATTACTTGGGATAACCCAAAAACTTTATAAAGGCATTTCTTTTTTGAGTCGCCTTGCCTCAATGGAAGATGGCCAGTGGGTCGAAAAGAAAAAAATTAGATCTACAATATAAAAAAAAATGTTATCTATGGAGGCAAAGAAGGGAATGTATGAAAGTACGTATACAGTAGTGGTACCAACACACTAATATAAGTGTGAAGCATGGGTTGTAAATGCTGCAGCGAGGAGACGGTTGAAGGCAGTGGAGATGTCCTAAGGGCAGTGTGTGGTGTAAATACTATGCAGAAAATTCGGAGTGTGGAAATTAGGAGGTGTGGAGTTAATAAAAGTATTAGTCAGAGGGCTGAAGAGGGGTTGTTGAGGTGGTTTGGTCATTTAGAGAGAATGGATCAAAGTACAATGACATGGAGAGTACATAAATCTGTAGGGGAAGGAAGGCGGGGTAGGGGTCGTCCTCGAAAAGGTTGGAGGGAGGGGGTAAAGGAGGTTTTGTGGGTGAGGGGCTTGGACTTCCAGCAAGCTTTGTGTGAGGTGTTAGTAGAAGTGAATGGAGACGAATGGTATTTGGGACCTGACGAGTTGTTGGAATGTGAGCAGGGTAATATTTAGTGAAGGAATTCAGGGAAACCAGTTATTTTTATATAGCCGGACTTGAGTCCTGGAAATGGGAAGTACATTGCCTGCACTTTAAAGGAGGGGTTTGGGGTATTGGCAGTTTGGAGGGATATGTTGTGTATCTTTATATGTATATACATGTACTTCTAAACTGTTGTATTCTGAGCACCTCTGCAAAAAGAGTGATTATATGTGAGTTAGGTGAAAGCGTTGAATGACGATGAAAGTATTTTCTTTTTGGGGATTTTCTTTCTTTTTGGGTCACCCTGCCTCAGTGGGAGACAGCTGACTTGTTAAAAAAAATTATAAATATTAAGATACAATATACGTACTGTACCGAGATATAGTACTGGATGAGAGTTGGCAGAGAATGTAGCTAGGAAGCATTTAGTGTCGAGCTCTTGTATGGAGTGTATAATTTTGTAATTAATTTTTCAGCATATAGAAGACAGTGGCTCAGACAGTGACGAGGATCAGTCTGGGTCAGGTAGTGGGTTTGATAATGACAACGACTCAGACAACAATGAAAAGGAAAGCAAGTCTGGTGGTGGAAGTGACTCGGACTCTGGATCTGGCAGTGGAAGGTAATCAGCAATGATTTTTCACTCTGCTACCACCATGTTGTTATTCCTCAGATAATTTCATAAACTACATTGCTAAAATTAAGTACAGTCATACCCCACCATGTGTCATTAATTGGTTCCAAGAGCCGTGATGTAAACTGGACATAATGCCTTAAAATGACAATAAATATAAATAATTCACAAAAGAATATAATTATTGCTAAACCTTAAATAAAACTAGAAATCACATTTTAGTCATATTTTTTAAAGAATAATGAACACAAAAAAAAATCATGATGCAGGTGATGTTGCTGAGTGAAATAAAAACGGACATAATGAAATTCGCTGAACTGAAATTTACTCTAGAAAAGTGGCGTAAAGGTGAATTTGGCATAGGCCAAAATGATGTGAAGTGGAGTATGACTGTACAGTGCTGTGCATTATTGAAACTTAAGCCTTTGAACAAACCATTATGGGTAGAAGTCTACCATTTGTTTTTCCAACAAACTTATATGTGTACAGGGTATTTTACTCGGGGCCACCTAATTATAGAAGGCCCCAAGTTAGTTTACTACAGACATAAAATACAAATGTGATGGTTTCAACTACGGGAGCACCAACTCGGGGTCTCCTATGAGTGAAGCACCCTGTATAATCAGGTGCTGTATATACAATATGAATACAAGTCAATGAAATAAGTGTTACTCTACATTAACTCTATATTGGTTGTAGAGCTTGGGGTTATAGTATGTGGAAACCTACAGTAGTTCTTTACAGTAATAATATACTTAGTAGATGAGGATTTTGCAGTAGTGTAATAAATGCACAAGTTATGTAATTTTCTTAGTATTATATACACTATATGTATTACAGAATAAGATATATAGTATGAAGGAATAAATGAAAAGTAAATGTTATATTTCATATTGCTTGTCAAAATAGAGATGTCTAGTAATACATATCAGTCAGGACTTTGTCTCTAATACAGCAGTGTGTGTACTGTAGTTCCCTGCAAAAGAAGATTACCTTACTGTGGCAAAGTAACTGATCCAAGGAATTGAACTTCTGCCCTTCCTTGGATTGAATCACAATATCCTTAAACCCTCCCTCTTTTTTTTTTGTCTCAATGGGGAAAATATTTTCCCTTTGTAAAATCCAGCTCCAAGACAGAAGGATTCACTATCGGTCTTGGTCTAACATAGCGTCAATTGGTGGTGCTGTGGTGGTTGGGCCACTCCTTAATAGAAATTAGATCATCTTAGAGCTAGTCAGGTGACCCTCTGGTCAGACATCAGGTGGACCTCTGGTGGCAAAAGTACTCATGAAGGTAAATTACCTGTGGATCGAAGAGTGGTACTTAAGGTCAGCATAAATCCTGGCATTATTGTCAGTTTGTACAGTTAATGCTCCTATATAAACAGTTTTCTGCAAAACCTTGCTCAATTCGTTTTAGAGGTGCCATTGTGGAGTTGTGCACTAGGTAGGGTAAGAACAGTACTGCCTGTTGCAGGATGGATGGGGATGTTGCAATTGTGGAAGTGTGAAGTACGGAGAGTGTTTGTGTGCTATCAAGGATGAATAAGGGTGATGCTGTTTGAAAGCATGTAGCACATGCCTGTACTCCAAAGGATGGATGGGGATGTGGCAGTTCTGGAGGTTGGAAGTATAGTGTATGTAATCTGAAGGATGGGTGGGGATGTGGTTCTGGAGGTAGGAAGTATAATACAGTTTTTGTGCACTGAAGGATGGGTCACTTGAAGGATTATGAATGTGTTTAAGTCATCGTGCCTAGGTCAGATGATACCCTATAAAAAAATCAGATGATACCTGTAAATTACTAATTACATTATTAATTTGTTTGGACATTACAAGGAGGTGTGGGATTATCCAGATGGCTGAGGAGGGATTACTGAGATAGTTTGAACATGTAGAGAGGATGGAACAAAATAGAATGACTTCGAGAGTGTATAAACCTTTTAGTGGAGGGAAGGCGAGGTAAGGGTCGGCCTAGGAAAGGTTGAAGGGAGGAGGTAAAGGAGGTTTTGTGTGCAAGGGGCTTGGACTTCCAGCAAGCATGTGTGAGAGTGTTAGATAGGAACAAATGGAGACAAATGGTTTTTAGGACTTGACGTGCTGTTGGAGTGTAAGCAAGGTAACATTTATGAAGGGATTCACTAAAACTGGCAGGCCAGACTTGATTGCTGGAGATGGGAAGTACAGTGCTGGCACTGAAGAAGGGGTGTTAATGTTGCAGTTTTATAACTGGAGTGTAAACATGCCTCTGGCAAGAGAGTGATGGAGTGAATGATGATGAGAGTTTTTCTTTTTCGGGCCACCTTGCCTTGGTGGGAAATGGCTAATGTGTCAATAAAAAAAAATTACAATAATTATCAAAATTTAGTTTATTGTAATTATTTTGGGCTTTTTTGATGCACAGCATTTCATTTGAATATACACCTACCATCCGACTTACGACCTGCTCGACTTACGACCACTCGACTTACGACCGTGTTTTTTATACAAAATTTCTGGGAAATAAACAACTATTTGTGTTGTACACAGTGTTTATCCTAAACCTTACAGTATAAAATACAGTACTAACAGCATAAAAAGTAAAGTAAAACATGAAATACCAAAATAAAACAATAAAATAAAGTCATTACAAAAATGTTTTGTTGATATTCATTAGTAAAGTTCGACTTACGACCATTTCGACTTATGACCGGTTTCTCGGAACCGAATTTGGTTGTAAGTCGGATGGTAGGTGTATAACCGTATAAAGTGAATGGTTTTGCATGTGCCATGGCTGATGGTTAGTTATGGTTACTTGAATAATTCTGAAACACATTAAAAGGGTGTTAATGTTGAAGAATTAAACATATGCAACATCTGGGTATGTTTATTTGTAGATGGTTTGCCATCCAGTGGCTTTATCAGTACAATACAAAGACATAATGTGAAGAAAATAGAACTACAGCATGTACAAAAGATAAGGTAATCAGTCCCCTCATCTTTTGTATGTTGTAGTACTTTCTTCATATTATGTCCTTGTATTGATAAATTACTGGATGGTGAAACATCTACGAATAAAGATACCCAGATGTTGCACGTGTGTCTAATTCTTCAGCTTGTCGGTATTATATACTATTCATGAATAAGGATGCTAATGCTTAGAGGTAATTCACCATATGTATTGTTTCTAGTGGTTCCGGATCAGGAAGTTCATCCGACTCATCAGATAACAACAACTCTGATTCAGATTCTGACAATAAACAGTCTGGGTCAGATGATGATGATGATGATGAGGATAAAGATGAAAATGATGATGATGATCAGGATGAAGATCAAGATGATGATGATCATGATAGGTCAGGAAGCTCATCCAATAGTAGCAGACGAGGAGGTTCAAGGAAAGGAGGCAAGCAGGAATTAAAGTCGGTTAGTCTCTAAGCTTTTGTTATCCTCTCTCTTTTTTATTGCAGTCTTTAAAATAAAATCTACAGTTTTTCTTCTGAATTTTTCAGTTTATATTAGGCAGCAATTGAGATAACTCCCATTTGAATACAGATTCATTGTTTAAGGACACCTTTCATAACAAATAAGCACTAACATTTCTAGTTTTGGAGTGGTTGGTGCAATTATTTAATAAATGTATGGAAGAGGGTAAGGTACCTAGGGATTGGCAGAGAGCATGCATAGTTCCTTTGTATAAAGGCAAAGGGGATAAAAGAGAGTGCAAAAATTATAGGGGGATAAGTCTGTTGAGTATACCTGGTAAAGTTTATGGTAGAGTTATTATTGAAAGAATTAAGAGTAAGACGGAGAATAGGATAGCAGATGAACAAGGAGGCTTTAGGAAAGGTAGGGGGTGTGTGGACCAGGTGTTTACAGTGAAACATGTAAGTGAACAGTATTTAGATAAGGCTAAAGAGGTCTTTGTGGCATTTATGGATTTGGAAAAGGCGTATGACAGGGTGGATAGGGGGCAATGTGGCAGATGTTGCAGGTGTATGGTGTAGGAGGTAGGTTACTGAAAGCAGTGAAGAGTTTTTACGAGGATAGTGAGGCTCAAGTTAGAGTATGTAGGAAAGAGGGAAATTATTTCCCAGTAAAAGTAGGCCTTAGACAAGGATGTGTGATGTCACCGTGGTTGTTTAATATATTTATAGATGGGGTTGTAAGAGAAGTGAATGCGAGGGCCTTGGCAAGAGGCGTGGAGTTAAAAGATAAAGAATCACACACAAAGTGGGAGTTGTCACAGTTGCTCTTTGCTGATGACACTGTGCTCTTGGGAGATTCTGAAGAGAAGTTGCAGAGATTGGTGGATGAATTTGGTAGGGTGTGCAAAAGAAGAAAATTAAAGGTGAATACAGGAAAGAGTAAGGTTATGAGGATAACAAAAAGATTTAGGTGATGAAAGATTGGATATCAGATTGGAGGGAGAGAGTATGGAGGAGGTGAATGTATTCAGATATTTGGGAGTGGACGTGTCAGCGGATGGGTCTATGAAAGATGAAGTGAATCATAGAATTGATGAGGGGAAAAGGGTGAGTGGTGCACTTAGGAGTTGTGGAGACAAAGAACTTTGTCCTTGGAGGCAAAGAGGGGAATGTATGAGAGTATAGTTTTACCAACGCTCTTATATGGGTGTGAAGCATGGGTGATGAATGTTGCAGCGAGGAGAAGGCTGGAGGCAGTGGAGATGTCATGTCTGAGGGCAATGTGTGGTTGTGAATATTATGCAGAGAATTCGTAGTTTGGAAGTTAGGAGGAGGTGCGGGATTACCAAAACTGTTGTCCAGAGGCTGAGGAAGGGTTGTTGAGGTGGTTCGGACATGTAGAGAGAATGGAGCGAAACAGAATGACTTCAAGAGTGTATCAGTCTGTAGTGGAAGGAAGGCGGGGTAGGGGTCGGCCTAGGAAAGGTTGGAGGGAGGGGGTAAAGGAGGTTTTGTGTGCGAGGGGCTTGGACTTCCAGCAGGCATGCGTGAGCATGTTTGATAGGAGTGAATGGAGACAAATGGTTTTTAATACTTGACGTGCTGTTGGAGTGTGAGCAAAGTAACATTTATGAAGGGGTTCAGGGAAACCGGCAGGCTGGACTTGAGTCCTGGAGATGGGAAGTACAGTGCCTGCACTCTGAAGGAGGGGTGTTAATGTTGCAGTTTAAAAACTGTAGTGTAAAGCACCCTTCTGGCAAGACAGTGATGGAGTGAATGATGGTGAAAGTTTTTCTTTTTCGGGCCACCCTGCCTTGGTGGGAATCGGCCAGTGTGATAATAAAAAAAAAAAAAAATTTCTTACACTCATGTATCAACATTTTAAGGTAGTCATTCATTACCTTGTCGACTAATAAAACTTAACCTTGGAGTATCAGGGTGTTGAGTTATCTTAAATATACATACATATTTCATTCTGGTCTCATTTCGATAAATACTAATTGAGAGTTTTTTTAAAATTAAAATACATTTGTGCTTTTGTTCAAAAAATTGTGGAAATGATGCTGAATTTTAAACAAAATTTTCCAAATTTGAAAGAATTCCAAATAAAGAATATTGCTGTATTGGTTTCTGTCTCTTATAATTAATACTGTACTGTACAAGAAAAAGATATTAAAATCTTTTATAAATATTTTGTGCTATTCCAAATTGAATTGGTGAGATAACTGTAAGAGAAGAGTACTTCACAGTGCTGGGAGGAGAATCCCGATATCTACGGGATACGCCGCTCGGCGAGAGAGCGTAAGGAACCTGATCGTATGAAAGTGGAACCTCAAGAAGCTGCCTCCAAAAAAGTCAGAAGAAGAAAGAGGTTAGTAAGTTAGTGTTAGAGAAACATTAAATGTTGATTACTTCTTTTCTGTTTGTTTAATTTTCCTTGCATAAAATTGTGATCTAAAGAACAAAAAGCATAATATCATGACTGGAACAATACACAAATAACCCATTGTCATAAGTTTCCTTTTCTTATGTGCGGGTTATTTGTGAATTGTAATTTAATATGGTGAGTGTCATCTAAGCTTTTTTATTAATATCATGTGGATAATTAATTTACTCTTAACATAGTTATGAATAAACAGAAGGGTGGACGAGGGACTCGAAATACGCTCCATAAATTGACAGTATGACGCTCTACCGTTTAGACTGTCAGTTTATGGATCGCAGTTTGAGTCCCTCGCCCAGCCTTCTGTATACAGTAGGGCCCCACTTATACAGCAGGTTAGGTTCCAGGTTACTGCCATAAAGTGGAACTTTTTTTTTTCTCTCTTTCTCTCTCTCTCTCTCTCCCTCCCTCCCCCTCCCACTTATAAATGCTAGTTAACATGTTTACAATAATGTATATTAAGTTAGCAATAGAACTAGGCATTAAAAAACAATAAAAAGTAAAATACACATATAGTACACTTATTACTTACCTTAAAACATATGTAGTCTTAATGTAGGGCGAGATGAGTAGTATTTATTTTAAGAAATCAGGTGTGGTAGAAAGCCAGGCAACCCCTACCCCACCCCACCCCACCCACAAGTAATATACTACGACATGTAAAGCATCCCAGAGCGATAAAATGCATATACAGTTCACTCATTACTTACTTTAAAATATTTGTAGTCTTAATGTAGGGTGAGATGAGTTGTACACATGTATTGTAAAAAATCAGGTGTGGTTGGTATGGTAGCCAGCCAGGCCACCCCCACCCCACCCCACCAGTGGTGGGGGAGGGGTGGTGAGATGCGGAGTTATGTAAACAGACGAAAGCATCTGGTTTTGGTTCATACACGTCTGTATTATAAAATAATACAAACACTTTACATTGTGTACAAGTTGTCTCCATCCTGGTATAGTGGAATTAATGAAGAGCAGCACTCTCATTCTCATGTAACACCATTTTTAAAAGAAATGACAATGAGTGCAGGCAGACAAAAGGAATAATTTTCTAAGTTATTTTTTTTTTTTTTTATTATCACACTGGCCGATTCCCACCAAGGCAGGGTGGCCCGAAAAAGAAAAACTTTCACCATCATTCACTCCATCACTGTCTTGCCAGAAGGGTGCTTTACACTACAGTTTTTAAACTGCAACATTAACACCCCTCCTTCAGAGTGCAGGCACTACTTCCCATCTCCAGGACTCAAGTCCAGCCTGCCGGTTTCCCTGAACCCCTTCATAAATGTTACTTTGCTCACACTCCAACAGCATGTCAAGTATTAAAAACCATTTGTCTCCATTCACTCCTATCAAACATGCTCATGCATGCCTGCTGGAAGTCCAAGCCCCTCACACACAAAACCTAATTTACCCCCTCCCTCCAACCTTTCCTAGGCCGACCCCTACCCCACCTTCCTTCCACTACAGACTGATACACTCTTGAAGTCATTCTGTTTCGCTCCATTCTCTCTACATGTCCGAACCACCTCAACAACCCTTCCTCAGCCCTCTGGACAACAGTTTTGGTAATCCTGCACCTCCTCCTAACTTCCAAACTACGAATTCTCTGCATTATATTCACACCACACATTGCACTCAGACATGACATCTCCACTGCCTCCAGCCTTCTCCTCGCTGCGACATTCATCACCCATGCTTCACACCCATATAAGAGCGTTGGTAAAACTATAACTCTCATACATTCCCCTCTTTGCCTCCAAGGACAAAGTTGTTTGTCTCCACAGACTCCTAAGTGCACCGCTCACCCTTTTCCCCTCATCCATTCTATGATTCACCTCATCTTTCATAGACCCATCCACTGACACGTCCACTCCCAAATATCTGAATACATTCACCTCCTCCATACTCTCTCCCTCCAATCTGATATCCAATCTTTCATCACCTAATCTTTTTGTTATCCTCATAACCTTACTCTTTCCTGTATTCACTTTTAATTTTCTTCTTTTGCACACCCTACAAAATTCATCTACCAATCTCTGCAACTTCTCTTCAGAATCTCCCAAGAACACAGTGTCATCAGCAAAGAGCAACTGTGAAAATTCCCACTTTATGTGTGATTCTTTATCTTTTGACTCCACGCCTCTTGCCAAGACCCTCGCATTTACTTCTCTTACAACCCCATCTATAAATATATTAAACAACCACGGTGACATCACACATTCTTGTCTAAGGCCTACTTTTACTGGGAAATAATTTCCCTCTTTCCTACATACTCTAACTTGAGCCTCACTATCCTCGTAAAAACTCTTCACTGCTTTCAGTAACCTACCTCCTACACCATACACCAGTTCTGTTTGTGACTTGAAAAAGCCCACTATGTGGGCGAAACGTAGTCAATAAAGGATCACATTATACTGCATATGTGTTTATATTTCCACCATACACCTGCAACATCTGCCACATTGCCCCCCTATCCACCCTGTCATACGCCTTTTCCAAATCCATAAATGCCACAAAGACCTCTAGCCTTATCTAAATACTGTTCACTTATATGTTTCACTGTAAACACCTGGTCCACACAGCCCCTACCTTTCCTAAAGCCTCCTTGTTCATCTGCTATCCTATTCTCTGTCTTACTCTTAATTCTCTCAATAATACTCTACCATACACTTTACCAGGTATACTCGACAGACTTATCCCCCTATAATTTTTGCACTCTCTTTTATCCCCTTTGCCTTTATACAAAGGAACTATGCATGCTCTCTGCCAATCCCTAGGTACCTTACCCTCTTCCATGCATTTATTAAATAATTGCACCAACCACTCCAAAACTATATCCCCACCTGCTTTTAACATTTCTATCTTTATCCCATCAATCCCGGCTGCCTTACCCCCTTTCATTTTACCTACTGCCTCACGAACTTCCCCCCCACTCACAACTGGCTCTTCCTCACTCCTACAAGATGTTATTCCTCCTTGCCCTATACACGAAATCACAGCTTCCCTATCTTCATCAACATTTAATAATTCCTCAAAATATTCCCTCCATCTTCCCAATACCTCTAACTCTCCATTTAATAACTCTCCTCTCCTATTTTTAACTGACAAATCCATTTGTTCTCTAGGCTTCCTTAACTTGTTAATCTCACTCCAAAACTTTTTCTTATTTTCAACAAAATTTGTTGATAACATCTCACCCACTCTCTCATTTGCTCTCTTTTTACATTGCTTCACCACTCTCTTAACCTCTCTCTTTTTCTCCATATACTCTTCCCTCCTTGCATCACTTCTACTTTGTAAAAACTTCTCATATGCTAACTTTTTCTCCCTTACTACTCTCTTTACATCATCATTCCACCAATCGCTCCTCTTCCCTCCTGCACCCACTTTCCTGTAGCCACAAACTTCTGCTGAACACTCTAACACTACATTTTTAAACCTACCCCATACCTCTTCGACCCCATTGCCTATGCTCTCATTAGCCCATCTATCCTCCAATAGCTGTTTATATCTTACCCTAACTGCCTCCTCTTTTAGTTTATAAACCTTCACCTCTCTCTTCCCTGATGCTTCTATTCTCCTTGTATCCCATCTACCTTTTACTCTCAGTGTAGCTACAACTAGAAAGTGATCTGATATATCTGTGGCCCCTCTATAAACATGTACATCCTGAAGTCTACTCAACAGTCTTTTATCTACCAATACATAATCCAACAAACTACTGTCATTTTGCCCTACATCATATCTTGTATACTTATTTATCCTCTTTTTCTTAAAATATGTATTACCTATAACTAAACCCCTTTCTATACAAAGTTCAATCAAAGGGCTCCCATTATCATTTACACCTGGCACCCCAAACTTACCTACCACACCCTCTCTAAAAGTTTCTCCTACTTTAGCATTCAGGTCCCCTGCCACAATTACTCTCTCACTTGGTTCAAAGGCTCCTGTACATTCACTTAACATCTCCCAAAATCTCTCTCTCTCCTCTGCATTCCTCACTTCTCCAGGTGCATACATGCTTATTATGACCCACTTTTCGCATCCAACCTTTACTTTAATCCACATAATTCTTGAATTTACACATTCATATTCTCTTTTCTCCTTCCATAACTGATCCTTCAACATTACTGCTACCCCTTCCTTTGCTCTAACTCTCTCAGATACTCCAGATTTAATCCCATTTATTTCCCCCCACCGAAACTCCCCTACCCCCTTCAGCTTTGTTTCGCTTAGGGCCAGGACATCCAACTTCTTTTCATTCATAACATCAGCAGTCATCTGTTTCTTGTCATCCGCACTACATCCACGCACATTCAAGCATCCCAGTTTTATAAAGTTTTTCTTCTTCTCTTTTTTAGTAAATGTCTACAGGAGAAGGGGTTACTACCCCATTGCTCCCGGCATTTTAGTCGCCTCATACGACACGCATGGCTTACGGAGGAAAGATTCTTTTCCACTTACCCATGGACAATAGAAGAAATAAAGAAGAACAAGAGCTATTTAGAAAAAGGAGAAAAACCTAGATATTTTTTTTTTTTTTTTCAACAAGTCGGCCGTCTCCCACCGAGGCAGGGTGACCCAAAAAAGAAAGAAAATCCCCAAAAAGAAAATACTTTATCATCATTCAACACTTTCACCACACTCACACATTATCACTGTTTTTGCAGAGGTGCTCAGAATACACAGTTTAGAAGCTTACACATGTAAAGATACACAACATATCCCTCCAAACTGCCAATATCCCAAACCCCTCCTTTAAAGTGCAGGCATTGTACTTCCCATTTCCAGGACTCAAGTCCGACTATATGAAAATAACCGGTTTCCCTGAATCCCTTCACTAAATATTACCCTGCTCACACTCCAACAGATCGTCAGGTCCCAAGTACCATTCGTCTCCATTCACTCCTATCTAACACGCTCACGCACGCATGTGCATGTCTGTGAAATGTGACCAAAGTGTAAGTGCAAGATATCCCTGTTATGTAGCATGTTTATGAGGCAGAAAAAGAAACCAGCAATCCTACCATCATGCAAAACAGTTACAGGTTTCTGTTTCACAGTCATCTGGCAGGACGGTAGTACTTCCCTGGGTGGTTGCTGTCTACCAACCTACTACCAGTTACCCCCCATAATATTGTGTACACATTTTCTTTGGTGTTGAACTATATGTTAATTTATTCTACTGTGGGGTATATTTATCATGTTTATATGTTAAATAGCATGTTTATTACATAATTTTGAAAAATATCATAGATGGATTAATGAAAACGTGTATATTAATGCAATATACAACATTTAACCCCTTGACTGTCCCAACCCCAAATCGTGAGGTGTCTCCTGGTGTTGCAAAATTTCCAAGAAATTTTTTTTTTTTTCTTATGAAGTGATAGAGAATCTTTTCCTGATTGTAATGACACCAAAAGAATGAAATTTGATGGAAACCTGATGGAATTACACTCTCGCGAATTTAGCGGCCTCGGTGATATTTACGAATCTGCGATTTCACCCACTTTGAGCCCTATTTTTGGCTAATTCCATTGTTCCAGTCAACCAAACTCATAGCTATTTCTTTAGAACTCCATTTTTTCTATCGATTGAGTACAAGAAACTGCCCATTTACCAATTTCAACTACCCAATAACGTGGTCAGAAATTTGCAATTTGGCCAAGTTCACGAAAATTAAAAAATATGACAATTTCAAAATAGGGTCCAGAATGAACAATGCAGACATTCCTGGCTCTTAAAATAACATTTTCTTTGTTTATCAGTCATGTCTCCAGGCCCCTCTGATATTACTCTTGCTTTCTAGTATTTTGAATTTTTATTCAAACATAAAATAGAAGATTTACTGTTATGCAGACTACTGCAATATTGTAATAATTGTATAAATAATGTCAACCCATTCATGACTGCATATTAGAATTTCTACTTGGACATTTATTGGAAAATGACATTTGTTTACCTTTGAACATCGGCAAAAATCAAACATTTCCCCTACTTTGACCTCCATTTCAAGGTTCTTTTCATAGTAAAACCAATCAAAATCATCTCTATTTCTATAATATGTTTTCCATTCTATCAAATGAGACTAAGAAAACGAGAATACAACCATAAATACTATACGAAAATAGACCACAACGTCGGCATTTTAATAAAAAAAATGGTCGAATTTTTTTTTCTCATTATGCATTGTGTGCTGCAGGATTTTTTTTTTATATGGTGCATGCTGACCACACAGACTCATTCTCTCACATGTGGACCTACCAGCTTTCTCCTGCTTGAATTGAAGCCGCTAGAATTTATGAGTATATATACGTCAAAAACGGTGGTTCATAAGACGTATATATACAACCAAAACAGTCAAAGAGTTAAGTGAGTATTATTAGTATTATTATTAATATGGTGTTCTCGAGACATAAGACGCTGTTAGTGATTTTAATATGTACCTGCCCACCAGCACAGTATGTAAATTTACTTAGGTACAGGTACACATAAGTATAATTATCATAGTATATATAAAATATGAAATAACTTTAAAACACTTGAAATTTTGGAAAGTTTTCAGACATTATGGAGAGATGTGGAGCTCATGGAGAATGTAAACAAACCGGATGGGGCATGGTGACCGTATTAGAAAGTCAGGTGGGGGGAGCTGTATACCGAGTTTTGATCATAATTTAAAATGGCCGTATTAGTGGAACGCCGTAAAGCGGGGCCCTACTGTATTCATTGACAGTTCTTTATTGCAACTTAATTTGAGTTCATACTTAGATATGTTTATATTTCCTGTTTGCTCTTAAATGTGCACACACATTTATCTTCAAATAGCTTCTCTAAATCTATACCAATGTATTGTGGCTATAATAGAATTCTCTCTTTTTCTAGCTCTAGTCAGTGGAATAGTTCTGATCAGTCTGATAGTGAAAATTCTGACTATGATTCACCTAAACCTAAAAGAAAACCCCCAAGCAAAAAGACGAGTTCATCTTCTTCCAAAAAAAAGTCATCATCGCATAAGAAGCACAAGAGTAGCAGTGAAGGCAGTGAGAGCGAAGGTGGCACCAAGAGGTGAGTTTTTTTTTTTTTTTTTTTTTTTTAACGTACTGGCTGTCTTCCATCAAGGCAGGGTGATCCAAAAAAGAATGAAATACTTTCACTATCATTCAACACTTAAACCATCATTCACAGATAATCACTGCCTTTGCAGAGTCACACAGATATGACAGTTCAGATGTCACTCCAAACAGCACATAGCCCAAACCCTTCATTTAAAATGCAGGCATTGTATTTCCCACCTCCAGGGCTCAAGTCTGGCTAACCGGTTTCTCTGAATCCCTTCACAAAATATTACCCTTCTCACACGCCAACATCTTAGGTTCCAAAAACCTTTTGTCTCCATTCACTCCTATCTACCGTGCTCACACATGCCTGGTGTATGTCCAAGCCCCTTGCACACAAAACATTTTTTTACCCCCTCCCTCTAACCTTTCCTTGGACAACCCCTACCCCTCCTTTCTTCCACTACAGATTTATACACCCTTCAAGTCATCCTGTTTTCCTCCAATCTTTCTAAATGACCAAACCACCTCAACAACTCCTCCTCAGCCCTCTGAATAATACTTTTAGTAACTCCACATCTCTAATTTGCACACTATGAATTTTCGGCATAATATTTACCCCACTCATTGCCTTTTTTTAATGAACTTAAACTGTTATTGCTGTGATAATGGTTTTATTTAACCTGACGCTGCCACTCATGTAGTACAGATTTGTGGCGAATTTCTTGTTTTTACCACTGAGGATCAAGCCTCCAGCACTTAATCTGCTAAATGACCCACATGGGTTTAGTACATCATGTGAATACGTCTGTATAATTTTAGCTTGACACTGCTTGAGGGCAATTTTTATTTAATTTTGAACCTCTGTCTTTATTTGTATTAAATTTATTTTTTAAATTATTTATACAAATAGTGTAAAAAACACCAAAAAATTTGAAGAAACAGGAAAATAGTTTACAGCGAAGTTCTGGCAGGTCGTGTTTGTTTAGTCGGGTGTTGAGCAAACGGTCAACTACCTTGCGATTTTTGTACCGAACAAAGCGTTCGAATACTGAATTGTTTGAGTAGGGAGCTGTTCTAGTACCATGGTTCCACTGTATAAGATGTGTGAACCTGAAATTTACAGCACTTATATACGATCATCAATAAAAGCCCACCTCTTTTTTTTTTTCCTGTGAGCCAGCATTCTTTTTACCTACATGTATCGTAGATCCATCTTAATTTGTTTTACCAGGCGGGGGTCAAACCGTGCTGCCAAAGAAGTGAGCTATAAAGAAGCAGAAAGTGAAGAGGAGGAGGAAGATGAAGAGGATGTGATAGAAGGAGACTGGTCCCAGCCTTTATCCAAAGAAGAAGAAAATGTACATACATTAGAAAAAGTGCTTGATACTAGGATTGGCAAGAAAGGAGGTGAGTTTATGTAATACTGTATTTTCACTCTGAAGGAGGTTGTGGATATTTTCATTTTTGAACTGATGTATCAGTGCTCCTCTGGAAAGACAGTGATGGAGTGAATGATGGTGAAAGTGTTTCTTCTTTTTTGGGTCCCTCTTGCCTTGGTGGGAGATGACTTTTTTCTTTTTTTAACACATTGACCGTTTCCCACCAAGGCAGGGTGGTCCAGAAAAGATGAAACACTTTCATCATCATTCGCTCCATCATCTAGCCAGAGGCCTGCCAATGCCACAGTTCAAAAACTGCAACATATCTCCACCCCTCCTTCAGAGTGCATGCACGACTGGCCAGTTTATTGGAAAAAAAAATTGCAATTAATACATAACTCATCCCTTCTGCAATATGAGTAATTACTCTAATAGTTAATAATTGCTCAGTTATGAGGTGTTGCTTGAATTGTAATATCCATGCATTTTTGGCAAGACAGCTATTAAATGAGTGTTGAGAATAGGTTTCTATTTTTTGGGTTGCCCTACCTTGATGAGACATGGCCAGTGTAAAAAAAAGATACAAGATGGCCATGCTTATACAGAATGGGTATAATTAAAAACTGCTGCATTAGTGAAATGCTATAATACAGGAGGCCTTCCTGTACTCTTAAGCCATTGAACTAAATAACTTACGTATACATGTCATTGATTTTCTTCTAAAAATCTATTGTAAATCATCTTTATGTTTTTTTTAGCTGTGGGGATGCAGACCTACATCTATGAAATTGATAAAAATGGTGACCCCAATACTGATTTTGATCCTAATGATCCTGAGCAAGCTGAAAAGCAATATTTAGTCAAATGGAAGGGTTGGGCTCACCTCCACAACACTTGGGAGTCAGAAGAGTCTTTAAAGACTCAGAAGGTAAGGAGGACCTGTTAGTGATTATTTGGGAGAATGTGCTTCTTCTTGTATATGTATATACTGTACAGAATTGATAAATTTATTTCTGTGTGCAGGTTTCGTAAACTACATACTAGTACTTGCCACTCGTTGAATACAGTATCTTTATTTACCAGTCTTTTTCTCTTTCCTGCCATGGTAAAGACAGAGAGCAGAGCAAGCCTTCTGTTTCTTTCTAATGTTTTCCCTCTATGCAGAGCTTCCTCAAATCATGATTAAGCTCTACACTGAGAGAAATATCACCAGAATAAAGTGTTTAATGGGTTTGTTTGGTAGGCTGTAAGCGGGTGGTTAATGATAAATGTCTTCGGAGGCTTCTTAGTTTATTTGTAAATGTCGTGGTGGGTACACAGGCTTGTGTGTTGTGCCCATGGCCCGGGAGGGCCGTCCCATGAGAGAGAGCTAGGCATAGGCCTTGTGTCTTCCTGCTAGGCCGCTGTGTGAGTGAGAGCGTGGCAAGGGCAGACAGGCTGGCGTGCCTACCGGGAGGCCTGGCTACAGAGGGCAACACTTTAGTGCCACGAAATATGAACTAAGCTGGCAGACAGCATGGGCTGTCTGTGCAGACAGTACAGGCTGTCTACATACGCTTGGCCACCTACCGCGCGTCGTCCCGACGTGACAATACTGGTGGTAAAAGGAACTCGGTCTCTCTCTCGTAGGAACAGGGCACAGAACACAAAATAAAAACATATATACATATGGACATAGAAAAAAAACTTCCTACAGGGAGGGAAGAAAAAAACATGTGGGGTGTGCTAAACATCGTGGTCAAAGGCAGTGAGCGTCGATTGGGCATCACTGCACGCCTTCCTGCGTCTGGACAGATACTGCAGCACAGGAGACATCGCTGCGGCTGAGCTGTGACATAACAGGTTACGGTCTCCTCTGGAATGGTGAATCAGTCATTGTAGGAGTCACTGCAGGTTTCACTCAACCTGGGGCACGACATGCTGGTGCCCTTGAGTGAGGCGTCAACAAAACTCGGCAACTGGGCAGGACTTCTGGCAAGCGACTCAGGAGGACACTTCTCGACTGGTACTGTCGCTGGGCTGTCACTGCCGGCGAGCGTGGAGCGAGTTGTGGCAGAGACGACTGGGCGAAACATCTGGGAGTCGTAACATCATACACCAGACTGCAGTGAGAGAGCTAGCAGTCAAAGTGACATCTTCTTTGTGCAGGCTGCTCACTGAAGCTTGTGACACGAGGCTGACACAGCGCCTGCCGACAGTGGCTAACTGCGGCAGGCGAGTGTCATTCTCTGGGCAGTTGGAGTTATAGCAGAGGTTAGTCTAAGCGTCCCCAGACTTGTTTCTCTACATATAACTGCACTCTGACGGTCTGGAGGTGAAGTGAAACAAATCTCGATGGGAATCGTAGCAGGTACGATTCTGCAGAACATCACGAGCGACGAGCATAAAAGCTTTCTGTACAAGAGGGCTCGGTCACTCGGGGCTGATTAATCAGCTGTCAAACGCGCTGGTCACACGGGTGACTTATCACAGTGGTGCTACTCAGGTCTGGCTCAGACCTCACTGGACACACGGAAACTTTACACACCCCGGTACATGCGGTACAACATGGCTTAAACTAGCTAATGATGCTTTTCTGTGCACAAAACTGACACTAAGACATATACTAAAATGTGAGAACACTGACTGAGAGGAATTAATTAACACACGACATATATCTTCTCAAACTTCTCGACAATACTGAAATAATTACTAGAAACACTTGATGTGACATCATGTGATGTCAGGCGTGATGTCACGAGGTGACGTCAGCAGACATCTTGAGGTGACATCAGGCAGACATCATAAAGTCGGGCAGCATCGTGGGTGACGTCGATGTGATGCGGGCAGCAGACCACAGCATGAGGCCTGGGACATCTGGTAACTCATGTGGCTGGTAGATCTACGTGACATCGCCCACACCCACATGGCGTCAGGATCCATGTGGCGTCGTGATCTACATGGTGTCGTGATCTACGTAGCTTCGAGTGGCCTCGGGCACTCGGATACGCAGCTCTGGCAATGAATTCACGAACAGCAGAAAACACAGCAGAGGGAGTGAGTAGTGGTGAGTGGTGTATGGTAGTGTGGTGGCGAGGAGCGTGGACGAGTGTATGGCGAGGGAGCATCTGGCCATTCCTCCTCCTCCTCCCACCCACAAACACAGGGAAACACACTAGACGCAGAAATCACCACGAAACTCACCTCTGGCTTACTGAAACAGCTGTGCTGAGCTGAACAACAACAGCAACATACAAGTGACGCTGAACACGTGACTTGAGAAACAGCGTGGAACACTGTAGCGTGGGGTCACTTGGACACCACTTACAATTCTCGGAGAAATTCGACAAATTTCGGCTGGATCCTGCTTGTACCTGTGTCTGGATGCTGAAATGTGCAGACACGACATCAGGATAACTCGTTGAGAGACGGATGTTTGTTGTGTAGGGGGATGAAGTGAACAACTTCATTCCTTCCTTCCTCTCTCTGGGCAAACACACTGCTTCGACCACCGCTTTCCACCATTTATAAAAAAAAAGGATTATTTGGTATTCTGGCAGCGGGGTGTAAATGATACGTCTTCGGAGGCTTCTTACTTTATTGTTAAGTCGTGGTGGGTACACAGGCTTGTGTGTTGTGCCCATGGCCCGGGCAGGGCCATCCCATGAGAGAGAGAGCTAGTAGTAGGCCTTGTGTCTTCCTGCTAGGCCGCTGTGTGAGTGAGAGCGTGGCAAGGGCAGACAGGCTGGCGTGCCTACCGAGAGGCCTGGCTACAGAGGGCAACACTTTAGTGCCGCGAAATATGAACTAAGCTGGCAGACAGCATGGGACTGTCTGTGCAGACAGTACAGGCTGTCTACAAAAGGCTTGCTCACTAAACTGTCTTTACCATACTTGTTATCACCAGTTATCAGTCAAACCAAATTTTGCACCAGTTTTTGTTCATTTACCCCCACCCACCTTCCATTTTCTCTTGTGAATGCCTATTTTCATTTTTGCTTTTGTTGGGCCCATACTGATAACCAGTACCAGTTAAGAACCGTCATCATTATAGATAAGTTCTCCATTTTCTTATTTCATTATGATAGGTTTTAGACTGAAAATTAGGTTTTACAGTTATGCCTGTTCTGTTATTCAGGTTCGTAATAATTCTCTGTATTTCTTCACTCTGTACAAAAGGGGGTACCTAGTCATTTGTAACTTGGCACATGGGCTGTGTTGTTTAGAATTTTTTTTGCTTGATTTATTATGGAAGCATGTTGAAGAGTAAGACACATGGGCAGCGCTAGGAATCTTTGTTGATGAAATGTTTTGCCTGCATTACAAGCTTCATCAGTCTGTTACAGAGACATAAGCACTGGTCAAGAACAAAGTGGCAAGGTAATTGATTTAATCAGTTCATCACTTCTCCGTTTTGACTACATCATTTTCCACCACTGCTGATGTGTCTGTAATCAACCACTGAAGCTTTCTGTGCAGGCAAATGCTTAATCAGTAAAGATTTCTAGTATTTCACAGCAGGTTGTTGGAGAAGAATCCAATCTAAATGAAGATTATGGTGACAGTAATAGTACCCGGAATGAGTCCTTTGTCGATTGTTCAGTGAATGGTTAAAAAGATTTACTGAAGACTTTGTCATAAACCTTCCCACTCCCTTTTATGTTAATGGCTGAATTGTCTAGGAAGGCATATGCCTCCCTTCATAATTTTTAAGGTTGTTTTCTTTTTAATGAGGTTGGAATATCAGAGCCGCAACTCGTAATGCTAACAACAAAAATAATGCTTGTGTTTTAATATAGTATAATATATTTTTTTGAAAAGATAGATGATCTTCCAGAAACCAACAACAAAATATCTCATAGGTGGGTGCCTCACAAAGTTCAGTACAGTGTTTATAGCTTTCACAGAGACCCATATTAAAGACTACTGTACTTTGACAGTGAAATATGGACATGTTGAAAAAATAATGATAATAATTACATAATAGAAAATACCTTGACCTTACATTCACATATAATGAGGATCTGGTATAGAACATAAGTGTCAGACACGGATACTAAGACCACAATCTAATTGAAGTTCAGATCTGCATACACACTAGGCTTGAGCAGCCCAATACCAACATTCATCAGGATGTATGTATTCAACGGTTGGAGGCAGTGGAGATGTCCTGTCTAAGGGCAATGTGTGGTGTAAATATTATGCAGAAAATCCGGAGTGTGGAAATTAGGAGAAGTTTGGATTTAATAAAAGCAATCAGAGGCAACTAGAGGGGTTGAGTGGTTTGGTCTTTAGAGAGAATGGATCGAAAGAGATATGACATGGAACTATACATCTATAGGGAAGGAAAGAGGGTGGGGTCGTCCTACGAAAGGTTATGAAAGAGCAAGTAAAGGAGGTTCTGTGCGAGGCTCTGGTACTTCCCACTAAGCATAAGCTGAGCGCGGTTAAATAGGAGTGAATGGGACGAATGCATATCTTGGGACCCTGACGTCCTTTGGAGTGCTGAGCAGGGTAATTTAGTCAAGGGTTCAGAAAACCGTTTTTCATATTATCGTATTACACTATGAGCTCTGGAAATGGGAAGACCCATGCCTGCGCTTTAAAGGAGTGGTTTGGATCATTCGCAGTTTGAGGGATATGTTGGTATCTTTATATGTTATATGCTTCTAAACTGTTTTATTCTGGGCACCTCTGCAAAGCAGTGATAATGTGTGAGTGTGGTGAAAGTGTTAATGATGATGAAATATTTTCTTTTGGGGGATTTTCTTTCTTTTTTGGTCACCCTGCCTCGTGGGAGACGACCGACTTGTTGAAAAAAAAAAAAAAAACATTATTATTATTATTATTATTATTATTATTATTTTTTTTTTATTAACACATCGGCCATCTCCCACCAAGGCAGGGTGGCTTGAAAAAGAAAAATTTTCACCATCATTTACTCCATCA